GAGAGAGAGAGAGAGAGAGAGAGAGAGAGAGAGAGAGAGAGAGAGAGAGAGAGAGAGAGAGGCGATATAGAGGAAGAAACTGAAAGACACAGCGATAGATAAAGAAAAAAAGAAATACAAACTATAATAGAAAAGAGAGGGGCGATGGAGAGTGCAACACAATTTTAGCCCCGAACATTGGATTATTTATATTATGTCAAGTTACCCAAGTTATCTGAAAAGAACTGCCAAAGACAGTTTTGACAAATCCCATGTAAATACACTTCACAAACTGCTAGGAAATAATTATGTATCGCTGTACTCACATGTTTGATAACAAATACAAACTCGTCAAGTTGACAGACCGCGGCTAACAATTCAAATAATTTGATCCAATAAACCCGAAAATTTTTCTTGTATTTGTATTGAAGGTGAATGAACTGCGCGTAGATAAATATTACGCAAAAAAACTGAAATTCATTGCCGGTCGACATTTTCATTTATAAAGATTAATCTTTAAAAATTAGAAAAACAACTAGCTATCGTTGTGGAAGTAAAGTTTATTTTCTCAAACCAAATGTGTTTAAAAAAGTTACAGTAGATACTTGTATTATAGTGTGGTCAACACTTCTTTGCACAATTTAACCTCAAATATCTCTCGAGTGAATCAATGTCACCCATCATTTGCACATTTGAACGAATTTGTCTCAACGTAATTCACATTTCTCCCCAACAGTTGAAGTTACACTAAAAAATACGCTTTTTTTTCCACATATTATTATAAATATTACAAATTTCCGTCTCGAGGAAAATTGGAGTGATCTCATCACTTCCTTCTTCTCACACTTATTTGCGTACGTAGTATGACGCCTGCGTCACAGCTCACCAATAACACTTTTTAGTGGTGAAATTTTAGCAGACGCATAATCACGATCTACTGATAAATAAGAAGAATTTCTGCTCATACTTTATTATATCTAGTTTGATGCCCTCATTTGTGACTTTATTCGATGCCGTTAGAATTTGCATTCTACGCACAGTGTAACCCACTCCTATATTCAGTAGCGATGTGCTTGTACCAGTGGGTTCTGGTTGGAACAGTAATAAAATGACGTAGATTTCTAGGCCTAATCACCTATGATTGCAAAAACGGAGGGAAAAAACCCAACAATCTAAACCGCTCAAGTTTTGTTCCGCACCATTAATCGCTCTAAATGTTCTCAAAACAAACGTACAATAAACATTGTGTCGTGGTTAGAAGAAGTGGGACGAACTTGCTTTAAAGTGCTATTGTTATCCCAGCTCATGGGATGTAAACTCTATAAATCTGCAGAAATCAAAGACTGGAATTTTAAAAATAAGTATTTATTAATAAGGTATTTTCTAGAATGCAGCGTAGAGGTGTTTAAAAATATTAATCTGTTAAGATAAACAATATTATTCTAAGTCACTGTGCAAAAGTTGGAAAGTCTATCATGTATGATGTACTATAATATCTGAAGAGATTTTTGACAATACATGTAATATAAGTTGCGCCACGAATTTTTGACCGCACTATAGGAACTGTAACTCGGATCCAAACGCTACTGAAAGAGAGAACGGCGAACATAAACAGGGCAAAGTAAAGGGTGAGTCACACAAGTCATCAGAACTCTTCAACGCACACGGAAACAATCTTTAGAAGAACACAAAAGAAAGTCAAGGTCTCAAAATGGTTGGAGAAATTAATATTGAAAAAAAACAACATCAAGATAAAAACCCACCCAAAACAAAACAAAAAACAACAATCCAAAAAAAAAGCCCACCTCAAAACCACCAGATAGGGATATGGGACAACTTTGACTACAGAGTCAGACAAGGATCTTC